GTCCTTTTTAGTCATGGCCTAACACACGGCCCCCCCCCCGCGCGCTCTCTGATTGGCTCTCCTCTGCAGCAGCCTACTCACTGGCAGCACGCGCTGCTCCGGTCTGTCAGTGTTCCCGGTACAGACCCGCAGTCAGACCAGAACCAGCAAAGACCCGCAGAGACTAGGACCGCATCAGACCCATTCTAAGTCGGACTGACTAACACGGACACCCCTCTCCCTCCCTCTCCCTCCCTCTCCCGGTTCGTCTGCGTGCTTCATCTCCTTCTCCGTTTTGGATCAATCTGTCCCGGGTCGGACCGACATGGCGCAGGACGTAAACCGGACCGGACCGTGCGGGACGAGACTGTGAACGTAAAAACCGCCGCGTGCCAGAGCGCGCGCTACCGTGCGCATGAATGAATGGCAGAGATGGACCGGAAACTACTGACTCAGGTAGGAGTATGTGTGCGTGCGTGTATATGTGTGCGAGCTCGTTATTACCCACACTGTAGGGACGCGGCTTCCTCGTGGTCCCCTCCATGTAAATGAGTGAATCTGAGGGTTCAGACCTGGTTCTGGGTTCAGGTTAGGACCAGGGTTAGGGGATGTGTTATGTCAGTGAGGGTCCTCACAGACATAGAATCACTAACGTGTGCGCTCAGAGGACTGGTGCGGATTTATTCACATTCATAAGAACAAATGTCTCACGCACAAACACACGCACACTAATACATCTATGAAGACGAGCCCACTGTCATTTCCTCAGAAAGCAACCACACCTGCACCTGACGTGATGACTAATCGATACTGGGATTCCTTTAAACTGAGTTAACACATTTCCCAAAATAATAATAATCAACAGAAGATGAAGCAGTTGGTTTGCTTCCTTCATTGGGATCCCCAGAGTCTCCACACAGCCTCAGCTGTTCTCCCTGGGGGCTTCAGTAGGTACAAAAGTACACATTCTCACTACACCTCACAATACACCAAGATGACAAGCAACAGGCTTTTGAGTTTTCCAGTTTGGGTGTGAGAGACTCAGGGTGAGACTTTCAAATGAGTTATAACTATGTTTAGGTCTAGGGTTGATTAATAGGCTTGAGTCAAAGATCGCTGCCACGCCACCACCTCGGCCTGTGTTTCGAGGGATGTGACAGTTACTGTGACCAGGTGGAGTGGATTCATTTAGGCTGACATATTCTTCCTGCTGTAACCATGTTTCAGTAAGACACAATAAGTCAATGTGATGTTCACTTATCAAATCATTCACTA